GAGGGTATAGCAGCCCAGCTGATGGCAGTGGGCCAAACTCAGCCCTGGGGTAAGCGGGAGAAGCTCCCCTAAAGCCTCTTCCACCAAGGCTGACTTTGTCCTGTTTTGCGTAAATGGGGAGGGAGTGGGTTCCATGAAAAGTAGGGAAGAGGGCTCATTTGTGGACTTATTTTGATGAGGAAACAGGGAAGGCTTTGCTGCTCACAGAGTGGACTCTGCACACGCCAGAGAACACACAAGACGCTGTGATGTTTGTCATCGTCAGATCTGACAACAGCCGGGCGGTGCGAGAACTTTGCCCCCACTTCTGATTAAATGTATCGCCTTTCCCAGCACCAGCCCCCTGTGCTGTCAGCTCTCTGTTCCCCATTGAGCAGTCGCGACCCCTCTCTTCCCTCCGTCTGACCGGCCTAAAAGAAAACAAATAAAGAGTTGTTTTGTTGTCCGTGAGGGAGGCTGGCAGGTAGCAGAGCTGGTGTTTCTTTTTTAGCCCTGGAACTGTTCTGAGTGACTCAGGCAGGTATTTACGGGGCAGCAGTAATGCAGGGTTAGGCTATCTGATGGCATTTCACTTTGGATGACAGAAATGCCGGGAGAAGACCAGGTCTCTTCCTTTTTATTGAGGCCTGGTAATTGGCTCCCAGAGGAAGAAAACAGCTCATGAAAAACAAACACAAATGCCTGGATTGTCAGGTCTCTACTGATCTCTAGTGCTCAGACTCTGGGGACAATCCTGGTACCTACCAGCAGGAATTGGCTCCCTGCATGTTTAGAGACAGCCAACGAGAGATGAGAGTAGGACCTCATTTGTCATGAGTCCTCGCAATGCCTCCCCGGACTGGCTAGTGGGACCTTCATGCTCTGTAACTCTAGAGCCAAGCACATTCAATGCAAACCTGCCTTATAGTGAAAGGTTTGAGAAGCTCAGTCTGTTTAATAAGAGAAGGTGAAGAGGTGAGTGATCTTAGTGTTACATGGGGAGTCTTCTGAGAGTAGAAGGCTCTCTAGCGGATGAAGGCAGAACAAAATCCAGTGGCTGGAAGTTGGAGCTAGATAATTTCAGGCTCGAGATAAGATGCATGTTTTTTTAACAGTGAGGGTAATTAACTCTTGGGACAATCTACTTAGGGATGTGGTGGAGTCTCCATCACTTGGAGTCTTTACCTGAAGATGGAATGTTTTTTTCTAAAATAATCATGCTTTAGCTCAACTACCAAGATATGGGCTAGATGCAGAAATTACTGGGTGAAATTCTCTGGCTTGTGTTCTACAGGAGGTCAGCTAGATTTTCTGAGGGGCCGGAGATGGATAACCTTTCTTCCTCATCTCCCTCCTCATCCCTTCTGTGGGCAACATGCATCCGATCCTACCTTCCCAACTCCACCTCCTGAGACCCGGAAGACGGCCCCTCTCCCCGGGGGGCAACAACCTTACACTCCTTGCCCCATCATCCTGCCTATTCCTTGCTAGCCCGCTTCCTGGTGTGACTGGCGCCCACCAACCTCCCTCCGCTTAATCCAAAGTCAGGCGAGGTTTGGGGAGAAGCAGCAGGCTGGGAAGCAGGGTGCTTTGGGGAAGCTTGCTGGGAAGAAGGAGGGAGCGTTCCTGGGGCAGATGAGGGCGCTTGGTGGGAGAAGGGATGGGCGGGGACTCATCCCTCCAGGAGCCCCGACCTTAACACACATGAAAGTGGCTGCATC